AACAGGTGTGCGCCCCCCCACCCCCAACAAAAACACCCAAAGAACATAATTTTGGACTGTAAAACCATGTTAGTGGTTCCTGAAGGGAAACAACATGAGAAAATTGGATAAGAGAATCAATTTTGTGATGAAAGATGAAAATAGGTGTTTTTTGTTTTGTTGTTTTGTTTTTGGTGGGGGGTTACAATATCAGTGGTACTTGAGGACTGCCAAGGCCAAATCCAGTGTTGTTCAGGGGCCTATGCAAAGTCACAAAAGACGTAACTTCAGACCTTGACTGTGCAAATCATGTGTTCTACCATGTGAGTCATACCCTGGTTCTGGAATTTGACCTCCAGTAATGTAGTGTGTACTGATGTTTATTTCTAAAGGTGTATAGCAGCTGACCCGGGTTCAATCTCCAGCACGCGTTGTGGTACCCCAGGACCTCCGGGAGTGATCCCTGAGTGCAGAGTCAGGAGTAAGTCCTGAGTGCTGCCAGGTGTGGCCCCTTAAAAACCAAAACAAGTGGGTAGGGCATTTGCCTTGCACGCGGCCTACCCGGTTCGATTCCCAGCATCCCATATGGTCCCCTGAGCACCTCCAGGAGTAATTCCTGAGTGCATGAGCCAGGAGCAACCCCTGTGCATCGCCAGGTATGACCCAAAATTTAAAAAAAAAAAAAGTAAATAAAGTAAGTGAACTTTTAAAAATTAACTTAAAATTTAAAAATTGATTGTATTTATTTATATTAGGTTATAGTACTATATATACACACATATACGTGTGTGTATATATGTGCATATATATATAGGGAATGAAGTTTCATACTGGTATTAGCCTCATCACATTCATAATCAAAGTCTCAGGAAATGAGTAAATTTTACTGCTTGTAAATTAATGAACCCGAAGGACAAAGAAGATGAAGAAGATGTAGGAGGAAGAGGAAGAGGAGGAAGAGGAGGAGGAGGAGGAGGAGGAGGAGGACAATCTCTATACTGCTGCCTTTGACTACATCACTCTCCAGCTTGCAATGGAGTCCTTAACAGAATTTCTGGTTTCTCTCCTCCCCATGCCACTTGGGTGAATGGAGGAGGAGGAGGAGGAGGAGGAGGGGGAGGAGGAGGAGGAGGAGGAGGAGGAGGAGGAGGAGGAGGAGGAGGAGAAGGAGGGGGAGGAGGAGGAGGAGGATCTCTATACTGCTGCCTTCACAGGAGGAGGAGGAGGAGGAGGAGGAGGAGGACAATCTCTATACTGCTGCCTTTGACTACATCACTCTCCAGCTTGCAGTGGAGTCCTTAACAGAGTTTCTGGTTTCTCTCCTCCCCATGCCACTTGGGTGATGTTGAACCCTTTTGCTGCCATGTCAGAACCTGTGATAGACTGAGCAGTGGGCACAGGGCATGCATAAACCACAGCTGGCAGCCCCTGAGCACTGCAGGGGCCCCCATCCTGCTCTGCTTAGTAAAATAGCTAAAGTTGGGCTCACTCACCTCCTACCAGAGCCAACCCGAACCAGGTAAGAGCACTGGTGTGTTAGATTCGGTAGGGGTGACTAAGATCTCTGACACCTTGAGCAGTTGGACTTTCCTCTCTTCCCCTTCCTGGACGACCTTTGTCCAATGTTCACAGGTATTTTTATGGGCAGCTTCCATCCCCACTGTGTTCTGACCCAAGCAAAAATAACTTTCTTCTATATTTGGGGAGCCTAGAGAGGAAATTGTTAGTTGGGCCTGCTAAGTCCAAGGTCCTACCGACTTTGTAGAAAATGTTTAATTAAATCCTTACAACAGCCAGGCCAGGTGAATTGCTATAATTTGCATCAATTTACAGTCAGGGAAAATGAGACAAGAGAAGTTAACGCAGTAGAAAGGAGATAAGTTGAGGCTCATACCCTCCTGTGCCTGTCCCTATAGATGGGATTTTATACATCGCACTGTTTGTTGCATCTGATGGTTTTGTCTTCCTCCCAAGCCCCGAGGCCTTCATTTCTCCTTCATTTGCCAGCATGTTCAGAAATACAGCAAATTCCCACACATTAGCAAATTCTTCTCCAGATCACAACTCAAAGTCCAGCCCAGACACCTGGAGCTTGTCCTGCTAGAATTCAATCACCCACCTGGGGTGACTCTCAGCTGGGAAGTGAAACCCCAGAGGCAGACAAGGTTAATGAGTGGCCCAGGAAGCCTCTGGTGAGGTAGCACCTTGAACAGTTGCCAGCCTTCACCCCGGTACTGGAGCAGCGCCCCCTGCTGGCAACCTATTGCACGTGGAAAAGACGCCTCCACTGGGAAGTTGTTTCAGGGGAGCCATACCTTTCAGAGGCCAGAGAAACTCGCTGATAAGCCCGTGGAAAGCAGGTTCCCTGCGAGGGAGAGGTGACTCGGCTCTTCTTACTGCCAGCCAATGAGGCAGCAGTGGTGCAGGCACCCCAGAGCATCGTGAGGCTGGCATCTGTATTGCCTCAGATGTGGGTAGCTGGGGAAGATATTCAGGTTCTGACCAGTGCTCAGTCCTTAGCTAGACTTCACATGGTATTGAAGGCTAGGCCGGAGCTCAAGAGAAAGAAGATAAAGGAGCTTTGTGAGGAGGGAAGGTGTTCTAGGAAAGTGCAGTTGTAAGAAAATATAGTGACAAAGCTTGTGTGTGTGTGTGTGTGTGTGTGTGTGTGAGAGAGAGAGAGAGAGAGAGAGAGAGAGAGAGAGAGAGAGAGAGAGAGAGAGAGAGAGCTTGTGCATAAGTTGGGGATGAAAGGACCAGAGCAGCAGCCTCTGAAGACTTATGGTGGAGGCAAGACTCTGGGCCATGAACACAGGTACAGGAAGTGTTTTTATGAGTTCCTTAGCTGTACAGGTCACCCCCTTTTCATGGTCATGCATCTGGTCTCCATGCACCCTGCATGAGAGGTCATAGCACATCTCCCCTTGTCTAGGCAACTGTCACAGTCACTGTCACAGTCTCCATCCATGGGCTCCATTCCAAACTTTATTGACACTTCCCTCCCACTGCTATTACCTTCCCCTCTGCTGTTCTCACCTGCATGCTGCTCACACCCTTCCTGGAGCATTTCCTTTATTACTTGGCTCCTATCTGCTCTCTGATGTTCATCTGAAGTACCACCTCCTCCAGGCAACTGGCCCTGGCCACCCTGACTTGCACTGATTTCCCTCTTCCCTAAATTCCTTAAGGTGTAACAATGACCTGGCCCATGCCATATGGACCTGCCTTGTTAGACTTCTGCCCCATTCCCCTGGCCCTCTTCTGTGGGTAGTACCCCAGAGCCTGTTACATGGTTTAGAGGGAGTCATTGATTTATTGGCTCCATTGATTTAAGGAAAGAAGGGTATCCTGAGAGTGCATGGTCCCTAGGAACCCACAGTCAGCATGTGCCCTGGACACCTGGAGGCGAGACCCACCACTGCATTTCCTTCAGATTCTCTAAGGCTCTGTGGTCTAGTATCTCAGCCCCTCTCTCTGCCCAGTAGCCCCTTCCTCATCTGCCATAGGCTGGAGCATGGAGGTGCAAGCTCAGGCTTCAGAACCATCTGGGTCTAGTGTTTATGGAAGGAACATGGAGGCTCAGATCTTGTAGCCTGGGGTAGAAAATCTGAGTGACTCTTGGGGTCACTTCCCAGAGTGATCCCCAGAGATGGGGATGTGAATCATATTTCCTGTATGGAAGGAGAGCCTGGTGACGCCGAGCATGCTTAGTGCTCCAGGGAGTGAAAGGAGCCACAGCAGGGACAGGGAAGGAAGCCTGATCTGCAGACACATGGCAGGTACCCAGAGGTGTGAGCCACCCTTTCCGTCTATTCGTGCTGTCTGAAGCCCTGTCACCCACTGACTACAGCCTTTCAGGATCCTCTTAAATATTTCTCACCAGTGACTGAGAGGTTTTAGGAAAACCCACTCACTCTCTCTTCCAGGACTGCTCCTTACCAGCGAGGTGGATTGTTGTATGTTATGCAAGATTTCTGATTGACCTTAATGACAAACTTGAGGTTACAGGAATAGTCATGCGCAATAGCAGGGGCCCTTGTGGAGTCATTGAAGCTGATGGTCTAGAAAGGGGCCCCTCACCATGTGGCAGGGGCCCCCCTCATGTTTCACATCAGCTTGGGGATGGCTATCAGCACATAGTTGACCATGTTCCTTTCCCCTGGTACTGGCTTAAGACATGGAGCATCTTTTATTTTATTTTTTTAATTGAATCGCCATGAAATACAGTCACAAAGCTTTCATGTTTGAGTTTCAGTCATACAATGATTGAACACCCATTCCTCCACCAGTGCACATTTTCCACTATAATGTCCCCAGTATCTCTCCCACCCCATCCCAACCCTCCCCCTGCCTCTATGGCAGAGAATTTCCCTCATACGTTCTCTCTACTTTTGGGTATTATGGTTTGCAATATAGATACTGAGAGGCATATAATATTTGGTCCTTTATCTACTTTCAGCACACAGCTCCCATCCTGAATGATCCCTCCAACTATCACTGACTTAGTGATCCCTTCTCTATTCCAGCTGCCTTCTCCCCCAGTTCATGAAGCAGGCTTCCAACTATGGAGCAATCTTCCTGGCTCTTGTGTCTACTGTCCTCGGGTGTCAGTCTCATATGATATTATTTTATATTTCACAAATAAGTGTAGTCATTCTATGTCTGTCCCTCTCTTTCTGACTCATTTCACTTAGCATGATACTCTTGACATGGAACATCTTATATTTACTGGCATCTTGGTTGGATGAATTATGGTGACATTATACCAGTTGTGCTAATCTGGGTAAAAATATCACCATCTACCAAAGAGGGCCGTTATTGTGCTTCAGTCAGCTGCAGTGAGACTTGGAGAATACATATGAGAAGTTTGGGGTGTGCTGTGCCCTGCTGGGTGGGCAGAGGTGGGCTCTGCGTAAACAGAGCGGTCTGGAGTGGGGAACTTGTTTGTTGATCTGTGGAGAGGGAGGCTCCAGCACTGAAGGCTGAGCAAATATTTGCAGTTATGGATTAACTTGAGTTCCAGGCTGTCATGGCGGCAGGAAGGCGCTCCGGCTGTTTCTCCACGGCCCACCCCAGTAAGTCCCCTTCGAGGCAGGTCCATGAGGAGTGTTGAGCAGGGCGAGGGGTGGGTCCTGGAGCCAGGGTTCAAGAGCCTGGCTAGAACTTGGGGTCAAGGACAATCAGGCTAGGACATGCACTGGTTGGCGTTTCTTGGGCCTGCGGTCACAGTCCTCAGAGGTGCACCATGCACTTCCTTTTCAGGCTCTTCGGCAGGTAGAGGTGATCTCAGGGTGTACTGAGCTGAGGGTCATACCAGAGGTAGCTTAGAGCTCAGGGCTCCCCATGTCCCCCACCCTCACCCTCACCTCTATACTTGGGGCATCTGATTTAAATCAATGCTGTCTACTGAGAGTGATCGTGGGGGGTGCTGATGTGGTAGGTAGGCCGACCCACTCCGTGTGGTCTTGGGGCAGAGATATCTCTATGGCCTTGTTGGGGAACCCCTGGTTAAGGATTTGAGGTTAAGACCCCAGGCCTAGAGTCAAACAGACCTGGCTTTGAGTTATACCTTTGCCACCTCCAATTTGTGAGGTTTTTTTTTTTTTTGGTTTGTTTTATTTGGGGGCTACACCCAGCAGTGTTCATGGCTTACCCCTGAGTCTGTGCTCAGGGATCACTTCTAGCAGTACTGGGGGACCTTATGGGTGCTAGGGATCCAACCCATGTCTGCCATGTGCAAGGAGACCCGCTGGACTATTGCTCTGGGCCCAAGTCTGCGGGTTTTTAATAAGTTGTATAACTCCTGCTGAGGCCCAATTTCCCTCTTGGAAATGGAATGAAATTTTGGATAGTATTGAGCCTTAAGCTAATAATAGAAAATGTTTACTAAACATTTGCTCTGTGCATGGCAAATTTTTCAAACTCTAAATGGATGAAGCAGTTTATTTTTCACAATAATTCTGTCAGCAGAAATGCAGTTGTTTTTATCTATTTCTTAAGTGAGGAAACATAGGCATGGAACCATTAGGTTTCTTGCCCAATGCTGCTGTATTGAGCTGAGATTTGCACCAATCCATCGGGCATGGTTGCCTGGCCTCTGAACCATGTGCAAACTGCCTGAAAGACAACATGAGTGTCCAATATGCATTAACTAATAGTCTTAGCCTGGTTTTAGGTCAGCAAAAGCACCACCTTCCAACACTCACAGAAGAAAGGAATGGTGCAGGAAGGAAGGGAGTCATGATCATTCTGGGACACATGCCAAGTGCCTGCACTGAGTCCTTTTTGATACTCACCAGGACCCCATGCTCAGCCACTTTCACCCTTTATCTTCAGACTCAGAGCCAGTGGTGTGACCTTAGCTCCGGAGTGAAGGAGACTGAGGCTCCAGGTGGCTCTCTGTCCTACCCCTGTGTGTATGTTGCGTGGCGGCATAAGTCGAAGCTGCCTGGTGGGGCTGCTGAAAGCTCAGGAGTCCTCCTCAGACAGGTGTCAGCAACTCCAGAATGTGGCCGCTTGCAAGCCTGGTACTGCTCCTGACCATCTGGGGAGTTTCCGGCATACCTGCTCCTCTTGGTAAGGCCTCCTGGGATCTTGGGGAAACCTATCAGAGACTGTCTTTGGAAATTTCCCAGGCTTTCAAAGAGCCTCCAGGAGATGGGGGGGGGGGGGGCAGATGGTGAATGAATGCATGACAGCCCCATAGAGGTCAGTTGTTGGGTCACAGGGGCTTGAAGCACATCTGTGTCTTTAGTGTTGGCAGACAGTCTACCTGGACTTCCTAGAGCTCCTTCTTGAACCCAGGAGAATAAGTTCCATGCTCCCTGAGGGCTTCTGTTCCCACCCACCCTGACTAACTAAAGATCAAGTTCACAACCCCACTGCACTGAGGTCCCTCCTTCTAAATGCACACTTGGAGCTCTCGCTGAGTTCCCTCCCCTGGAGCTCTTCTCTGCCCTATCTGACAGGCCTGGATGTCTGGGGGAGGCGGGTCTGCAGGAGAAATGAGCTTCCTGGTTTAATCAGCAGCCTCACCTGTCCTTGAGCTGTTGCTTGTATTTACGTATTTTTCTGGGCTGCTAGTCTCCTTCATACTTATTTATCTGGTCAGGCCTTTCCTGGCCTTTGCATCCCAGACTTTGAAGCTCTCTGACTCAGGCCCTTGACATGTACTTTTCTTTTTTTCCCTGGACACATCTCAGAGCCCAGGAGGCATTTGGTATTGCCCATGGTGTGGCAGGTGCCGACCTTCAGCTCTGCGTGGTCAAGGGAAGGGACCAGGAAATGTTCCAGAAGCGGGGAGGAGGGAGAGGGGAGGAGAAGGCTGGGCCTAGCTGAGTCAAGATGAGACAGATTCAACTGTGCATTCTCAACAACAATAATATATGGCACATGTCACTGGTGCTGGTTTCTATACCAGATAATGATGATCTTATCTCTCTCTCCTCACTGTGTGTGTGTGTGTGTGTGTGTGTGTGTGTGTGTGTGTGTGCCTGGAGTTAAAGGTCCTCATACATTGTGGGATGAGGAAATTGAGCTTTAGAGATGTAACACCGAAGGCTCAGGGTCACCTGGAAGTCGGGGTGGGCTTCAGAGGAAGTTGTAAATGGCCATCTTCTGTCCTCTGATTCAACCACGGACTTACGTGGGAGAGAAACAGATGTGCAGGAGAGAGTGTTGTTACCAGACACATTTATAGTCCTGCATAGTCCACCTCAGTTCCCTTGACCAAAGTGAGCCCCCGCTTCCCCCAGACTCAGTGTTCTCCAGCAGTGAGGATGCCCACCAAGTACTACGCATCCGCAAACGTGCCAACACCTTCCTGGAAGAGCTCCGGGCCAGCAGCCTGGAGCGGGAGTGCGTGGAGGAGATCTGTGACTTCGAAGAGGCACGAGAAGTTTTCCAAGATGTGGATAAAACAGTAAGACCCTCCTAGGACCCCTCTGGATCTGCAGGGCAAGACTTGGGGTGGGCCATTGGCAGGCTGAGGCTGGAGGACAGACTGGGTCCCTTCTGTTGGGGTGGAGGGGGCAAAGGCCGAGGATGTCACCTTTGGTCAGGGCCTAGTCCGCTCGTGGAGGAGAGCACCTGGGGGCCTTCCCCTGATTCCTCCCCAGCCCGCTGCCATTCAGCGCTCCCTGCCTATGCTTCTCGGTCCTCCCCCCTGCCATCTAGAGAGAGGCTGCCATCTCCACACATATCCACGCCAATGCTGATCAGGCTGTGTGTCACCTGACTCCCCATGTTCTGTCCACGTATTGTTTGTCCCCAGAGCAACAGTGGATGGACCTGCTTGAAAAGCACAGTCCCTGCTTCTACAGACTTTTGGGGGAGTTTGGGGGGTAGGGGTTGAGTCATACCTGATGATGTTCATTCAGGGTTTACTCCTCGCTCTGTACCCAGGAATTACCCCTGATGTTGTTCAAGGACCATACGGGATGCCAGGGATTGAACCTGGGTGGTCCGTGAGCACGGCAAGTGCCCTGCCCATTCTACTATCTGTTCAGCCTCAAATCTGAGACTGGTTTTGGTGTGGTGGTGCTGATGTTGGGATAGAACCTAGGGACTCACACACAAAAGGCAAGTGCTCTGCTACTGAGCTATATATCCTTCAGATTGATTTTTTCTTTTTTGAAAGGTGAGGGTGGGATTCACAAGCAGAGCATAGGGAGCCTGTGTGTTGCTCCTGGTGATACTTGGCCTCATGCTGTTTGGACTAAGGGTAATCCTGGGGTGTGCTTGGGGACTGTGCAGGGCAGGAACACCGGGCGTGTTCCTAGCACTTTGAGCCATCTCTGAAGCCCCTAGTCCAAATGTCTGATCAGCACTCCCATGTCTCACCACATGGTCCTGGTGCTTGCTTGGGAGAGACTCCGGCTTAGTCAGCATCAGTCCTGATGCCTGAGCGGTCCTGGAAAGCTGGAATGAGTGAGGAGGGCTGCCTGGGGGCAGAGCTTCCTGATGGGAAAGCTTTCCCTAGCAGTGATCTTTGGTGGTTGCAGACCATCCTGGGGACAGCTTCCTGCTGTAGGAGGCAGGGCATTGTTCAAGGGGCACAGTGCAGAGGGGGATGCCAAAGAAACTAGCTGATTCCTGGAGTGCTGCCCCTGTGCCTTTCTCTCCCCTGCCACTCAAAGGCTGCCCTCCTTTCCCTGGGTCAGACCCCAAAAGTGTCCCCATGGGACCTCCAGAGACACCCGCGGCGATGGCCCCTGACACAGCACATTCTCTCTGCAGCTGGCGTTCTGGTCTAAGTACCTCGGTGAGTGCGCTCTGGATTCTTGGCTCTGGTTCCCAAGCCCGCAGGGGTTTCTGAACCACTGTGGGGACAGGGAAGGGCACTGGCAGTACCAGTGACAATGCCACCTTCACCCCACGCCGCAGACGAGGACCAGTGCTCCGCGCCGCCCTCGGAGCACCCGTGCGACAGCCCATGCTGCGGCCACGGCAGGTGCATCGACGGCATCGGCGGCTTCCGCTGCGACTGCAGCCAGGGCTGGGAGGGCCGCTTCTGCGCGCACGGTGAGCGGCTCAGGGTCCCGGGCGGGGAGGCCGTGGTGGTGTGTTTATGTGTGTGAGTGTGTGGGGGGGGTTCCTGCGCGGGGACACGGCGAGGAGGACGTCGTGTCACCCCCCGTGCCCTGCAGAGGTTCTCTTCTCCAACTGCTCGGTGGACAACGGCGGCTGCGGGCACTTCTGCGTGGAGGAGGAGGAGGGTCGCCGCCGCTGCACGTGCGCGCCGGGCTACCAGCTTGGGGACGATCACTTGGAGTGCCGGCCCACAGGTGAGCCCGTCGGGGGCGCAGGCTGGCGGCAGGCAGGGCCTCTCGGTTGGGTGAGGAAGGGCTGCGTTCTATAAAGGGAAGCGCCTTGCAGGCGTTCTTGCTCCTCTCCCTCCCCACATCCTCTCTCTTTTGGGGATCCAGGAGCTCATCCCACCAGCTCTGAGCCCAGCGTCTCCCTCCACCCACTGAGCGTGGCCTTGTGTCTCAAACACTCCTTGTCTCCTCCCTACTTCCGCCCCTTTGCCGTTGGCTTCTTAGGAGAGTCAGGAACTGAGGCTCTGCCTCCTTTTCTATTTTTCCTTGATCAAATTTCTATATGTAATCAAGAAGTCAGGTTTTTTTCCCACTAATTTTTTTAAATGAATTAGCTTGAGATATGATTACAAAGCTGTCATGATTGAGTTTCAGTCATAAAATGATAGAACTACAGACGTTTTCCACCACGAATGTCCCCAGCATCCCTCCCACCACCCCTACCCAACCACACCCCCAGTCTCTGTGGCAGACAATTTCCTTCTTATTCTCTCTCTACTTTTGGGCATCATGGTTTGCAATATGGATACTGAGAGACAATCATGTTTGGTCCTTTATCTGCTTTCAGCACACATCTCCCATCTTGAGCGATCCTTCCAACTGTCATTGACTTAGTGAAGAGGTCGAGTTTTATAACTCTTACAACAAACTCTTACAACAGTTGTTCTTCAGAGCAGGCTGTTTTGCATTCGCTATGTGGTGCCTTGTGGGGAGAGGGAATTCCTATCTCCTGACTCCAGGAACAAAATTAATTTGGGGGTGGCAGTTGGGCCACACTCTGCCATGCTGTGGGGAAATGGTTATTCGTTTCTCTGCTGCTCAGGGGACCAGGTAGAGCCCAGCATGCACAGAAAGTACTCTTTATCCCTGTACTATCTCTGGCCCCCAAATGAAGGCTTTAAAAACATTTATTGAATCCACGTGAATGACCAAGTTATGAAGTTATTCATGATTGAGTTTCAGGCATTCAATGTTCCAGCACCAGGTCATTTCCCAGTGTCCCCTTCCCTCCACCAGTGTTTCCAGTTTCCCTTCCCCCACCTCCACCTTGCTTGCCTCTGTGCCAGGCGCTTTTCCCTTTTTCTTTTTTTCCTTTCAGGCACTGTGGTTCACAATACTGTACTGAAAAGGGTATCGTGCATATCACTTTACCTCCTTTCAGCACCCAGTTCGCATCCAGAGTGAACACTTCCCTATCAGTGGTTCCTTCCCTGTTTCAACCCCCACCCCCTTGGCAAGCTTTCTACAAAGGACCAGCTTTCCCCTGCCCTTTGATTCTATTGTCTTATTCTCCTACCAAAATGAATTCTCTAGCGATTTTTTGATTCCTTTCTGTGTTCTCTGTTTTCTCCTTCTGGACCTCATATTATGCAAATTCTCTTCTTCTGAACAATCCCTCTAGTTTTATTATGTCTTCTGTTTTCTGTCTCTGTGTTCTCTTCAGAGCCGTCCTACCACTTTGTTTTTCCTGTGTGGCCACAAGAAACAAGGTTGATTTTGTTGTTATTATTTTGTGGTGCTTGGCTTTGAACTCAGGTCCTCCTCCCCATGTAAGGCTTGTGCTCTACTGCTGAGCCATATTCCCAGCTGCCCCTCCCCCCACGCCACTTTATATTCCAATCCTTTCACTGAATTGTTTTATAACTTTGATTTTAAGATAATTAAAGTCACAGGAAGCTGTAACGAAATGCTTGATGGATCTGCTGGCTATGAGGTCCTCCTTCATGGCTTCTTTCTCTTGTCATTGTGGTTTCTGGACCTGAACAGCCCTGGCAGTACTCAGGGCTTACTCCTAGCTCTACACTCAGGGATCATTCCTAGCTGGGTGCAGAGGACCATATGGCTGCTAGAGATGAAACCCAGGTTGGCTGTGTTAAAGGCAAATGCCTTACCCTCTGTGCTATCACTTCCTCCGTGCTCTATGGCTTTCAAGGGCACAGGTGACAGATCCAACATCCCCTGCTTGGATGCTTTGCTTTTTTCCCTTCTTTTTGTGCAGGGCGATAGTTTGGGCCATACCTTGGGCTTATTCCTGGCGCTGTGCTCATGAATCACTCCTGGCAGGGCTCAGGGGACCATATGGGATTCCCGGGATCAAACTGGGTCAGCCGTGTACAGGCCCCTGCTGGTATTTTCTTTAGGCTGCTCTTGGAGAGGAATCCTCTAAGCTCATGCTTGGGGTTGTGACCTGACAGGGTAGGAGGGGAAGCTGACTCTGTCTAGTCTGCGGAAGTCTCATGCCTTTTTTTTGTTAAACTCGCACCTGTCTCTCTGGTGTGGGGCCTGGAGTTGCTGGGCATTCATGTCAGGTTCATTCTCTACAGAGCACACATCTTCTGTGTGTTCTTTTCTTCTGTGGGGTGAGAGGATGGTTAAAACACTGGGGCAGGCCTGAACAGAAGTCACAGGACTCTTACCGTTTCTTTTACAAGCTCTCAGTAGTCTTGTCTATGACCTGCATATGCTTCATTCACCAGAAACTTGGAGTTTTCTGGGGTTCTAGCTGCAAAGCAGTGTGTCTGATACCTGATTTTGCCTCTTTATTTGGCCAAGTGAGTTACCACTTGCAATTGAAGTCAAGCTTCTGGAACACGCTGTCATCTTATCTCCATTCTCCCTTATTCTGCAGTTCCCTGGCAGATGGTTTCCCCTGGCCTCTACAATAAGTCAGAATTTCTCTGCCCAGTGCAAAGGCCATTGTGGGGTAACTCTAGCTGACCTTCCAGCTTTCAGTCCCTGTTGGTTCTGGCTCCTCTTAGCAGAGGACCTCCCCATCACGCTCAGAGCTCCTTCAGAGCTCTCTGAGCATATCTGCCTCCTCCTTCCCATACTCTTCTACTTCTCTTAGAAACTTGGGAGCATCCCATTGATCTGTCTCTTCACAATTACTCTCAACCCTTGGGTAGATGGGCCTGGGGCCTGGGGCAACAGGCTAGGGAGGAAGGGAATGGTGGCTTGCTCTAACTTATTGCTGGGTGGTACTGTCTGCTGACTGAAGAACTTTACCCTCTGAGTATCTCTAAAGTCCTACAGTGCAGCCAGATGTGGAGTTACACAAAGAAGAGAGGGCAGTGCTGGGAGTCATGGGGGCAGACCCTCACTGCCTCCCTTTCCTGCAGTGAAATTCCCTTGTGGGAGGCCAGCTAGACAAGTTGAGAAGCGTCGCAAGAACCTGAAGCGTAACACAGACCAAGTAGATCCAGAAGCAGACCAAGTAGATCCACGACTTGTCATGGGGAAGCTGACTTCATGGGGCGATAGCCCTTGGCAGGTGAGGTTGGAGGGGAAAGGCCTGGGCATTCCTGCCCCCTGAAGCACAGAGGGGAGGGGGAAGTGCTGACTTTGCTTGATGGGTGGGGGTATTGGTGTCAGTGGTATGGGTTGGTTATGGGGGTGGTTTGCGGGGAGGATGGACGTAATCTGAATAGACACAAGGGGAGGGAAGACTGCAGAAGGGACAGATACAACAGTGAACAAAAGAGTCAGAAAGATAATGCTGTGCTGGTGGACCTGGCTAAGGGAGGAGACCATCAGGGAGGGCTGACCCCTGTATCTCTCCAGCCTCAGAACCAGAACTGACACTTGGTCCCCTTCTCTGTGAGACCCTGGGGTATACAAATTCTACATACAAAAACTACATAAGAAGGGAAGTGGAGCAGAATGGCTGCAGGGCATAGTGGAGCAAAAACCAGGGGGATGCTCAAGGTAGCCTGGTGGTTTCAAAGGCACGCTAGAAAATCGGAAGCTACTCTGAATGCCTACAGATGTGAGCAATTCTCTAGGTACTGTGAGGAAAACTCTAGGAGTAGTGTGGGCAAAAGCAGAGTGGTACCATGGAACAGGCCGACTCCACAGAACATTCACGTTAGAAAGTGCTGAGGAGGGCTCTAGATCTGTTCCCAAGAGCAGGAATGCTGGGAGAGACCTGCTTGTGCTTCTAGTGTGTCGAGTTCCAGAGCCTGAGGTCATGGGGTTGTGCTTACAGGCTGTGATATTGTCCCCTCCACCCCCCTTTCCAGGTGATCCTGCTGGACTCGAAGAAGAAACTGGCCTGTGGGGCTGTGCTCATCCATGCGTTCTGGGTGCTGACAGCGGCCCACTGCATGGAGGACTCCAAGAAGCTCACTGTCCGGCTAGGTGTGGGCTGAGGCCACCAGAGGCCTCAGGAATGGGTGGTACCATACAGGCTCACTGGTTTTGCAGGGTCCTTATTATGTGGCTCAAAGTGATGGAGCACTTGCCTGCCAGTGTGTGACCTGAGTTTGCTCCTTGGGCAGCATTAGTGGCCCCAGCTTGTCCACACTATGAACACTGCAGCACAGCCTAAGCACTGAACCCTCAGGCCTGTGCATCAGGGAGTGGCTCTGCATCCTGAGCACCATGGGGTGTGGGTTCCTATACAAAAGAAGAGGTGCCTGAGCTCTATGCAAGGTGGTTGGGGGGAAGAGGCTGTGCACTCCTACTCTGTCATTCCAGTGGTGGAATTTTACACACAATGACACCTTCTGTTTTATAGGCAGGGAACTCTCAAAGGTGAGCCCAGGTGCTTCTAAACACATGTATTGCATATCAGGGGTTTGCAGACATACTCGTGTCTTGGCTCATGTGTGGGCTTCTGCTATCCTTGAGTACAGAGAGTCACAGGGCATCCACAAGGCCTAGGACCAGGGTCTGGCTTCACATAGTGGGACCCTGGATTCTGCCACAACATATCTTGGCATTCCTGAAGTAAAGTGGGTGGTTCAAAGACCATAAAAGAAAAGAAGGAAAATACATTTTGAGAATAAGTATATTCACCGTTTCTCCACCATAACCAATGCTTTGTGAACTCCTGCAGAAATTTGCTTAGAATACTTTTTTTAAGATGTGAGGTTTTCCTTTTCCCCAAGTGTGTGTGTGTGTGTGTGTGTGTGTGTGTGTGTGTGTGTGTGTGGTTTTGGGCAACACAGTGCTTAATGCTTACTTCTGGCTCTGCATTCAGGAGTCACTCCTGGTAGTAGGGGTCCATATAGTGTGTCAGAAATCAGACCCTGGTCAGCCTCATGCAAGGCAATTACCCTGACCATGTACTATATCTCTGTCCTCTGCTTACAATTCCCCACCTCCCCCCAGCCCCCTGCCCGCTTCAAGTAACTGTCGGCCTTGCCTGAGAGAACCTTGTCTCTTGTGTTCAGTTTTCACTTCCCAGCAGAGCCTTATCCCCCTGGGCCTTACTGAGAGGTCTTACTGGTTCTAACTTGCTCACCCATCTGTCATATCCCTTCCTGCTATTCGCTGGCAAGAGCCTTGTTCCTCCAGCTGCCCTTGCTCCATGTTCCCTTTGCGGGGCTAGACTGTGCCCTTGTTTTCCAGAGAACATGGAGACTACCCACAGCTGGCTACTCCCTGACATGGTTTCAGCCAAGAGTGAGCCCTGAATGCACACCTGCATTCTGCCCCTTTGAGGGACCCTCCCAGCCCATCACCCTCCCTGGATCTGAGACCCAGGAATGTCCCAGGCAACCACTGCTGCCCTCTAGCTGGGTAATGGACATCTCCTAAGTCTACACTAACAGTCCTTCTGCCCTGCAGGAGAGTATGATCTGAGGCGCAGGGATAAGTCAGAGGTGGACGTGAGCATCCAGGAGACCCTCATCCACCCCAACTACAGCCGGAGGACCACAGACAACGACATCGCGTTGCTACGCCTGGTGCGGCCCGCCCCGCTCTCGCAGACCATCGTGCCCATCTGCCTCCCCGACCGGAACCTCTCCGAGCGTGAACTCACCCAGGTGGGCCAGGAGACGGTGGTGACCGGCTGGGGCTACCGGAGTGAGACCAAGAGGAACCGCACCTTCGTGCTCAACTACATCAAGATTCCCGTGGCCCCGCGCAACGAGTGCATCAAGGTCATGAACAACGAGGTGTCGGAGAACATGCTGTGTGCAGGCATCTTGGGGGACCCTCGGGATGCCTGCGAGGGTGACAGTGGGGGGCCGATGGTCGTCCAGTTCCGGGATACCTGGTTCTTGGTGGGCCTGGTGAGCTGGGGCGAAGGCTGCGGGCGCCTCCATAACTATGGTATCTACACCAAAGTCAGCCGCTACCTCGACTGGATCCACGGCCACATCACACGGGAGGAGTCACCGCTCAAGAACCAGGCCACCTAATGTACCTCATACTGACCCTACACCCCGGTTGGTCACTCTTGGAATGGGGGCTGACCTGTTGAATGACAATATGTGGGGGCATTAAAGAGGTGCACATCAAGCGCAGCAAAGTTGTTCTGTCATTTCATCCACTTGCTGGGAAGTTCTGGAGGGAAGTAGCATGTACTGAGCACCTCCTGCATAACCTACATGTTAAGGTGCAGACTTATCACTCCAGCAATGACTCTGGGGGTTAGGGAGGAGCAGGTCCAAATTTTGTGGAGTCTGGAACAGATGATATCTGAGCAGAATTATAATATTACATGCCCTTCACAAGAACTTGGAAGGAGTCTGTGGAAGTCAGGAAGCCTTGGGTCAAGGCTTTATAGCAAACTCAAATAGGGAGGTGGAAGTTTTTAACACACACTTCAGGGGAGGAAACTGAGGTTCAGGAACATTAATATGGCAGAGCCTGGACTCTAATCTAGGCCTAACTCCCAAACCCAGAGGCTACTCTTTGTTCTCCACTGTCCCGGTATCTGCTGCTCTGGGAGTGCGTCCCCGACCACACAGCCAGAGCCCAGAAGTTGTGGGTGCAGCCAGAATGAGCTCACAGCCTAGTTGATGAAGCTGTTTAAGAACAACACTTTAGGGCCCAGGACTTAGCTCAGTGATAGACCCTATGCTTATGGCTCTGGTTCTATCACTGGCATGTAAACATGTGTGTACGCATACTCACACACACACATGCACACATGGAAAGGGGAAAAAAAGTACTGTAAGAAAAGGAAAGAAATAGGGCTTTTATAAAACGGATGGTGGTGAGACAAAGTCAAGTCAGTTTAAAGTCCTAAAAATAGTGTCTTTGTGGCCTCAGGCAGGTCACTTCCCGTCAGCAAATGAGGGATGAGATGTCTCTACACTTGAGCCCCCCAGGAGATTTCAAAGACACCATTCAGGCTCACCTTCACAGATTCTCATTTAACTGATTAAGGTTGGGGGACACAGATATCCTATGCAAAACTCTCCAGATCACGGAAATGTTGAAATATACTGCACTTAGTGAATCTCAGGGCCTTTTCTGCTTGGGTAGACCTGAGTTATAAAGGCCCCAGGACCAAGGAGAATGAAGAGCAGTACTCTCAATAAGCACAGTGCCATTCCTGAAGTTCAAACGTGGAACCAGATGACAACCAGCTTGTCAGAACCAAAGGTGCTACTTGCAAACCTGAGGAAACTTGAAAGAGCTGTTTCTGCGCAACCACAGGAAAGGAGACATACATGAGATGGGGTTGGAGTGATAGCACAGTGGGTAGGGCGTTTGCCTTACACACGGCCAACATGGCCGACCCGAGTTCGATTCCTCCGCCCCTCTCGGAGAGCCCGGCAAGCTACCGAGAGTATTCGATATGCCAGACACAGTAACAACATGAGATGGGGTGCACTAAATTCTTCTCTTTATGGGCCCTGGAAAAAGGGAGGGGTGGAGTTGCTTGGAGGTGGGCAGTAGCCAATCCCAGGGCTAATTTGTGCATTTGTTGATAAATGATGCTTTGAGAGAGACTGTGTGCTGGAAGTGTTTGGCCCTATTAAATATTGTCTAAAGAGTTTCCCATCAAGATGTTAAAGATAGCATAGGCAAAAAACCTTCTGGCATGAAACATCAAGAGATCTGTCCTGCACCCCAGTGAAACTAGTGAAAACCAATCTGAGGACAAAGAAATCAAAAACAAAAAAATAGAGGTCTTAAACCAACACAAGAAAACTTACAAAGTTGTTTTAGAGGTACCTATGGATTAGTGTGTCTGTACCAGCAAGGTGTACAAGGCTGAACATGGAACATGAACTGAAAGTGTAGAAAGTGATGGTGCATCACATCTACTTCATCAACAGAGAGTCACAAAAATGGGTATTGGATGTAAGTCTGGCTTTCGAGTAAGAAACTGTTGATAAGGGACTATATTATTATATTGTACATATTATATATTATGATATATCATTGTAAATACACTTTGATGAGGAAAAAAAGTTAAAAGCAAGTATGTTTTCCAGAGAAATAGAACCAGCAGGAAGAAGTTATGTAATGATTTAATACAGTAAAGATGCTAGTTTTCACAAAATTGAAATGTAGGAATAACACAATCTGATACACACATAAAGAAATTAGTGGTAATAGATTTTACATAGACATATAAAAGTGAGATTGTTTTAAATAATTTAGCTAATGAGATTGTTAGGGCTTAGCTAGCCCAAAAACTTGATGGGAGCAACTCAGAAAATAATTTCAGTTTTAACTGTGAAGTAGTCTACTGACTTCTTGCTCAAAGAATGTCAGTTTTTGTTTTATTCAGTCCTTCAACAGGATATGACCCACCTAGGTTAATCTGCTTTATCAGCCTACTGATTTAAATGTTAATTTGAAGAAAAAAGTACTCCTAAAAAAATCCAGAACATTGCTTAACCATATATATGGGCACCACGTCTCAGCTTCATTGTAATATAAAATTTATCATCATAAAGATTTCCAAGTAGAACTGTGACTCCTGTCCCATTTATATGCTGAAGTGTGAAATCCTTAGAACCTCAGAAGTTGACCCTAATGGAATAATAGAATCACTGAAAATGTTACTATATAAATATAAAGTAGTACAGTAATTAAGGATGTGGGTGGACCCTAATATGATTAGTGTTATTATTAAAAGAGGGAAATTTGAATGTGGATTACTAAGAAGGAAGATGATGGGAGCACAAGGAAATATCAGGTAAATGTGAAGTCAGAGATCAGGGTGTTTTGTCTATAAGCAGAACAGCAAAGACTGCCAGCCAGTCCTCAAAACCTAGGAGAGACAGAAGGGTTCTCTCTGAGTCAAGTGAAGAAACCGGTGTTGTAAATACCTTGCACTTGACTGCTGACCTCCAGAATGCTGGCACAATACACTTTGTTGTTTAACATTTATGTGGTGCTTGTTGTGCACAGCCAGCCCGGCCAAGCCCGGTTCGATTCCTCTGCCCCTCTTGGAGAGCCCAGCAAGCTATCAAGAGTATCTTGCCCGTGAGGCAAAGCCTGGCAAGCTACCCGTGATGTATTCAATATGCCAAACACAGTAACAACAAGTCTCAAAATGGAGACGTTACTGGGCCCACTAGAGCAAATCGATGAACAACGGGAGGACAGTGTTAGCAGGCCTAGCAAATAAATGTAGCAAATGACATAAGAATTATACTTAAGAATATGGAAAATATAACATAATTGTAAAACAACAACAACAGAAAACAAACAAACCAAGGGGAAAGGAAATACAAAGACCAAGGGAGCAGAAATCATGCAAGAGCAGAACGGAAATGATGAAATGGAGAGCAGGAACCAGATATTTGCTTTGGAAGTATTCTCTAGAGGCATAGAGAAGTAGAAAATGCTGAGCAAAAAGAAAAAGGTAAATACAGAGAGGAAATTAGGAACTTTTTTAGTATAAGCCAATACATTTGAAAAGTAGTTATATTTCTGGAAAGACACAAAAGGCCCATATTGGTGTATGAAGACAGTCGTGATGGTGGTAAGAACAGTCTTGCTCCTCTTCAGGGTCTGGCAGCATGTTGTTTGCTGTGCTGGGAGTTTTACTATACTTTATTTGTGTTCATTTTTTGTTTGCTTGATTTTGGACCACAACTGGCAGTGCTCAGTCAGTTACTTCTGGCTCAGTACTTGGGAGAGCTTCAAGCAGTGCTCAGAGATCATACTGCATAGGGACGGGAACCCAAACCTCCTGTTTATTCACATGTGCTTGGTCTATTGAGCTATCTCGCCAGTCACTCTGCAGAGGTCTTGATGGTCACATTGCTGTTGTGCTATCTTAATTTGACATTTAGTATGTACAATGAGCTGGAGCAATAGCACAGTGGGTAGGGCATTTGCTTTGTAAGTGGCTAACATGGCCGACCTGAGTTCGGTTCCTTCACCCCTCTCGGAAAGCCCGGTAAGCTACCGAGTGTATCTTTCCCGCACAGCAAAGCCTGGCAAGCTACCTGTGACATATTCAATATGCCAAACACAGTAACAATTGTCACAATGGAGACATTACTGGGCTCGCTCGAGCAAATTGATGAACAATGGGAGGACTGTGACTGTGACAGTATGTACAATGAGCTTCTCAAATCTTGCTCAACTCTTCTAGAACATGAGAAATTGGAGGTGCAGGGTAAGTTAGATTAGTAGCCCAATAGGTGTTGTATATATATATATATATATATATATATATATAGTAGAAATATAACTGGTAATAAATGCACCATACCAACTGTATTATAGTCTCAGTTTTACTATGAATCTAAAAAAGTTTCTCAGAATGAAGTAAGTCTTTTAAAAATGTAGCAGAAGGACTCAGAAGAACCATTAAAGGCTTCAATTGCCTTCTTTGCAATAAGTGTAATCAGAAGGTTAAAGGCTGCATTCCCAAACCCCCCCCAAAATTATTTTTTAAAAATAGAAAAAAATTAGTACTGTAGCACTGTCCTCCTGTTGTTCATCGATTTTTGCTCGAGCAGGCCCAGTAAACATCTCCATTGTGAGAGTTGTTGTTACTGTGTTTGACATATTAAATATGTCACGGGGAGCTTGCCAGGCTTTGCTGTGCAGGCGAGATACTCTCAGTAGCTTATCAGGCTCTCAGAGAGGGGCAGAGTTTGATCCTCTGGGTCACCCGGGTCAGTCGTGTGCAAGGCAAATGCTCTACCTGCTGTGCTATTGCTCCAGCCCAGAAAAAAAGTAGAAACAGAAATATAATGCCTAGTATCTGGTTAATAGGAAAACTGGAAAGACAATTTTTTTTATTAGTGAGATATTATGAGGTACAATTGTAGACTTACAAATTTTGTGCTTGGGTTTCAATTATACAATGATCAAATATCCATCCCTTCACCAGTGCCCATTTTCCCACCAGTATCCCTCCCACCCCAAAAAGACAATTTTTTTTAAAGTAAGAATAAAACATTGAAGAATAAAATCCCGAAATGAAATGTCTTCAGATTGAAAAATCTCATCAAGTACCAAGTAAATCAATAGACTAAGACCCACCCTAAACACTCACAGTGTGAAATTTCATATTAAATGAAATTTGGAAGG